TTCATCGTTATATTATTAACCATAAAATTACCCCGAGTACGTCTTAATTCCAACTTACGCCTACCAACTAACCAACCCCCTTTTCGCAACCTCACCACGACCGCAAATAACTAATCTATTTTTCATTTGATGCATACAGTAAGTATGGGTACGCACGACGGGGGGAGACTAGGTTTCCAGAAGCAGACAAAGCCACTTGTTCGATGGATTTGCAAAGGGTTCGTCCGCGGTGCCTAGAGGGTATGGGGATTTCAGAGCGGTGGAGAGGAAGTAAAGAAATCATTAAATGCTTCCCGCTGAAATGTTAATAAACAAAAGGTATCGGATTTCCTTCGGGGCATGCAGGCTTTACCGGCAGCAAGCAACATGTAGAGCTGAAGAAATCCGATATTTTACAACTCAACGTATATATATATATATATTCTTATTGGAATTAGTGGTGGGTACACTTCGTACCTACTTAATGATTATATCTAATGAAAATCTCCCAAATAAAACTCCCACAATCGGGACCAGCTTTCATTGAGACGTCAATCCTCGCGGTCTAATTGTTATGTAATGCGATGCGAGCCAGAGGGTGGCGTGTTTCCGAGGCCTTAGCCCCGAGTTCACGACTTCCTTAATGGGAGCGAGTACCGAGGCGATGTGAAGTGAAGGGGGGACAGAACAAGAGCAAGTCCGAGACATCCGCGCAAAACTTGGCTGTGCCCCGTCGCCGCCAGCCACACTGTAACTTTTAATTCCCCATTTAGTCGTCTCCGCGCACTGCTCTAAGGTTGCTCTTCTTTTTTTCAGGAATCTGGCGTGTTTTTGATTGCTCGGGTCGACCGGCCGATCCCACTGCGACTATAACAGCTTCGAATGGCCCTCCGAACACCCATAATGCCTCTGCTAATGTTTTCTACCTTCGGAATTAACCTGAGGAATACGGATGTTAGTAATTAGAGCTCCTCCGATGCGGCCTTTTCTTTCTTTCGCTTCGGCCCGAAGCTCGAGAGACATGAGAGTTCAGCGCGTTTCAGCGAACGCGTACTTCACTTCAGGCAAACTTCGATTGCTTCCTCGAAGATGAATGGGGTCCGACCGTTGTCCATTGCAAGAAGTCTCATCACCGATGAAGAATTATAATGATGGACGTAAAGGGCGAGGACTGGTTTGGGGTTGGTAAGGAGGCGAGAGACGAAGCGAAAGGGCATATCTACATATAGTGGCGTGTAAGGCGCAGTGTTATTGTTAGCAAACAATGCCTGAATGGCCCCACAGAAGGCGATATTGCCACAAAACAGCACTAAAGTTTTGTTTCGCACACAGCGAATATGTACTTATGGCTATGACACCTCAGACGGGGGACTTTCCAATGTTTTTATTAAAGTTAACGAAATTCCGACTGGAGCACCGGAACGGACGCGAACTATGCCCGCGTCTTGTACAGCCGCGAGGTAGGAGTCGGAACTTTCCGCACCTGCTACCACTCTGATATTGTTCCATCCCACAGTAAGGTACGTTGAAATTACTGGGCTCGATTACAACAAAGCTTTAAAAACATATAATTCTGAGTTTATGAAGGCGGCAGACTCGGCGGGCCCAGATCGGTGCTACCAGAGGGTCCATCGGGAGCAATCGGGCCGCTGTTGTATTACTGTCTAATTCAATGCATTACTGGTGCCTTGTAACTGGTCCCCAGGCGCCTATTGCTCGGGTTGGGCGTTGTGCAATTGTCCGACGCCATCGACGCCGCGGTAGGCGCCGTCACTTACTTCGCATTTTTTCCCATCCCCGAAATGCTTGGAAACTCCAAAGCTCAGAAACCTATTCTTGAAAGAACCTTGTCTCGCTGCCCATCTTCAACTGATTTTCATTCCGAATCTCCAACATATTTACAACATTCAATAAACCTCAGCCTGTTCTCTTTTGAACTCGAGCATGTTTGATTTGCTCTGTTAGATGCCACACGGGACAACGCCGGACTCGTTGAAATATACCCCAAACCTTTTACTCCTAGACAGGATATCCACCAGTGCCAGGCTATATTACATTACACTTATTTTAGTCCTAATAGCTATAACATTAATTTCCATAACCAATGCACACAAATATCAAACCTAATTTCAAATA